CATTTGGGACCCACTTAGCTCATACAAAGTTCAGCGTTACTGATATTTATTATTATCATAGTGATTGGCAGCGGCAAGGAGGAATCTGTTTCATCTATGGTATTTGGTGTGTTCAAATTTGTCCTTCATGACAACATGATAAACATGTTTCTTGTTTTCTATTAAACTCTCAACTTGTTAATATCATTCTCATTCCAGATATTGTCAAGTGCCTTTACTTCTACATATTTTTCTCAGGTTCACCACCGAGGGCATGATTTAAGCATGTGTTGAGTGTTCACACACACCACAGTTACAATCATGCACATGCAAAGCTGAAACCCAACTGTCTATCAGAACTGAGATCATGTTTTATTCAGCATGCACGGTCTCACATTTTAGCACATACTATCTCATGACACACAGATCGTAAACATGATCACAACTATTGCGTTTATTATTTTCTACTCGGGAACTGATCTCCACATTAAACCCTAACATTGCGTACATCAACAAGAAGTAAAACTTGCTCAAAGGAAGAAATGATAAATAGTATTACTGTCACCGCCATATTGTTTTGAACACTAAAACATTGCAAGTTGCTGATTGCTTTGTTATGTGTTCCTGAAGTTAGTTAACTGATTAGATTAGTTCAAAGCGCTTTTACGAAAGTGCATTATATGACTAAATGCGTTATGACAAGCACAAGACATATTATTGACTGAGTTCTCACATTTCATACTATATCAGTACATACTTTTTGTTTCGATAACTTTGCCAATTTATTACCAGGTATATACAGATTTATACGATCGAATAAAAGAAATTGAACGGCAATCATATCGCGATCTTCTATTGATATTCAATGTGTCTGAGTCCCCCACTATAAGTTTGACGTCTCCTGTAGAGGTTGGTTTGACTCAACTTGTTCTAAATGTGTAATGACCTCCATGCGTACATAGCAACCAGTCAGCAGCTTAGCTGGCATGTTGTTGTTGTTTGGTGTTCGTTACAATATGGCAGTGAGTGACAGTGAAAGTCATTTCCCAGATAAATTATCAGCAAATAGCTTTTCAGGTTTTCATTTTCAATGATTTGAAATCATATTTCAAACATACTGAGTACTGGGCAGGCGTCTGAAATGTTGCTCCTTTTCCTGACTACTACTGTACATGTATAATTATAAAATTCGTAAATCAATGTTCGGATAGTTTAAAGTCAGCTTAGTCGGCTGGTTCAAGATAGTGTAGATTTATGTTTTTAAAATCCCTGTCACTAAACGATTCCTCCACTATCCATGGTCAATTTGTGTGCACAGCAGGACATGCAGGTCAATTGTCTAAAAAGCTTGAATCATCTATTTATCAGTGACAAGCATTATTTGAGTTTGTTTACAGACAGTGAGACCGATCTGTTTCCAAGTGTTCGTGTGTTGGCCCAAATAAGGATGATAGTTAACTAACTATGATATCTTACAGAAATGTACTACTGTGACACAGACGTCTAATTTCCGAGAAGCGGCAAAGCTAAAAACTCATTTGTCGATGAACTACATGTACCTGACAGAAATCAAGACACTGCATACACTGCAATCCCCTGAATATATTTCTAGTGCAAACTGGACTGTTAAATAGGAGCTTATTACTATGCAGGGACAGTATACATCTCAGTCATATTTCGCATTACAATAGGCTCTGCCCAACACCCACATGTACCCTACTTGCATCAGTGGCAATAAAATACTTTAGTAGTTCAACATCAGTGCTACTCAACCACAATTTGAGCTGATTTTCTCTTAGGAACTTTAACTGTAATTTGCCAAGAGATGTCTATGCATTTGAATAACTGATACAATGTATCTGGAGATGCATGCTTTAGTATGATTCGCTGGGTTTCGAGGTCAATGCGCATATTTTAGTGATGTACAAGTATGTAAGAGGGTGTATATGGTTTGCTCATATTTTTCTGGCGCTTTGACTTTTTCTTTGATATGTGATTAGTTGCATGACAGCCAACCGATTCATCAGGCCTAGAGTAACTCAGAGATTAAAAACTCAGTTTCGTTCAGTTCAGTTCAATTACGGGATAAAACATCCTTAAACAGTAAAAATCCCACCAGTGCATCCAATGGATATAACGCGGTCATAATCATTCTTAAATTTGTTTATATTATCGACATCGTGTATAATCAGACACGTAAACTAAAAAGAATCGCAACGGTGACTTCCCTCGTTACACCAGGTTTTAATGATTTGTCATTCTAGAGCTGCATTATTAGATTAGTGACAAATCTGTGTATCATAGGCGGTTATGCTAGAAGCATGTTGAATAAGAGGGACTGATACAACAGATCAAATAAATTAATTAAACAATACATATTAATATTATGACATACACGTATTGATAATATTTATAACTACGAAGACATAAACCAGGGCTTAAATGCGTAATAACAAACATGAACACCTTGTCGTTCATAAATATCATCGCGAAATTAAAAATAACCGATCATCACTTACTCTTTTACCACGAAAAACGGATCTTCGAGGGACATATCCGACCCCGAATTTAAATCCTTTCGAAGAACGTCTAGTTGGGAATATATAGGACTGAATAGGTTAGACTGAGGTCAAAAAGAACGAAAATCCTTTGTATAATTACAGCAACATTCACAACATATACGATCGGGGAAATACTCCGTGGCGAAAATGGCCGTTCACGTGGTCATGTGACGTGTGACCTGTGACGTCAAAAATAATGTATGTCGATTTATCAGAGGATTCCCTTTGCCCAGTGCATGCAACCACGTAGTGTCCAGACAAAACACTAACACATTTGTCCTGTCACAAACACTCCGATTAACAGGCTTATTATAAATGAAGATCATCATTATTACCAATATACAAAGTAAAATAATCATAAATTGCAATAACAATACAATTTCAAGATATAATTAAAAGAATTGCCATTATTGTTAATGGACAGAGAAAATAAAATATTACTACATTACTAATAACGTCAATTAAATTGTGTGACTTGAAATGAAGCATTAAAACATGACGTCACAAGAATGTAGGCAACAAAGTCACGATTTAACTGTGTGTCACGTCCGGTAACCGCCGGAAATGGAAATGTGGGGCTACACGTTTACTATGTTATTACATGTACATTGAAATGTTAATTTCTTACTAGATTTACAATAATATTGCACGTAAGCTATCGACGCACATACGTTATACATGAAGTTGAACTGTATAAACAAGGCACAGTTTTAATAAAATATATGCACGTACATTGCATATTTATTCGGCAAGTGGCGGATCCAGAGGGGGGCCAGGGGGCCATGCCCCCCCCCTAAACGCATGAAGATTCATATCATCTGGATTACGCATAGCTTCTCTGCGATTTTCGCTCCGTATATCTTAAGCGAAGCTTCCCCCCCCCAATACATTTTGCTGGATCCGCCACTGTATTCGGCGGAGGGGCCGGACTAGCGTTGGATTTACCCATAGATAATTTGGAGCAACCGTGTTATTCTTGGTCGTTCATTTGCTATTTTTCCGAATAAAACAATTCCATGTGACTAAAGTATATATGTAGGCTAACGTTACAGCGAATATTGTGCATTCGACTTTTTAATTGATAACATACATGTTTAATTTTATGGAAAAGTCGTTCACGGACATTGGACCTGGTAAATAGAGCAAACAAACTATCGTGTTCGTTTGTTTCAAAAGCGTTACCCAGAAGTAGGTAACTTTGACATAAGTCCACAGCGTTTTTATTTTTGTTTACCCAATATGAACTATTTTTTGTGAGGAATAACTGTAAGAAAACATGCACACATTGACGAATGAATTCAAAGTAAAGTAATTGAGCACAATTCAATACAAAACAGTATTAACAATTATTCGGGCCAATCATAAGTATCCATCATATTATTACATATAGTCTTTGTCACCATATATATCCAAACTTAATTCGGAGTTATGAAGAAATATACGGTAAATGGTTAATTTTAATAATTTTTGACACGTTTTGTGGCGAAAAAACTGTTGTTGTTTTGTTTTTTTTGGCTCCATGGTTGACCATACTTTTTTTTACAATATAACAGTATTTCGTGAGCAACAGTATATTTATAAAATAAGTTTGAAGGTTACAGTCGGGAAATCTCTACAAATTGCGTCAAGGAATAGAACTAAACAATGTTACGGTATAATTTTTTTTTTAAATGATTTGTGCATTTTATACCTACTAATTTTATATTATATTAATATTCATATCATAATGTCGATGCCGTTCACCTATGTAACAATTTAGGTAAACATATGAGATATCATCCCGTGGGCGAACATGAACCCCCATGTGCCAGTTCGTCTACAGTGATGGAGGGACTGTCGGTATTAACCCCATCACCCAAATTGGCTGTCATATATTTTATTTTTTCCAGCCGCGTAGATCGTATAATATTTATTATAATGAAAATGAAATACTTGATGCGTGTAAATTGTTTTGACAATTTTATGAATAATTGTATTTATAATACAATCTATCACAAATAACAAAAAAAAAAGTTACTAAGAAGCCTTATTTCCACAAACCAAAGATTTGTTTTGTTGTTCTTCAAAATATTGAATCCTGGGACAGTTTTCCTGCGTGATGAAATCTAATTTGCATAATTTATGCAGTTTCTCTGAGCTGTCGTTGTTCGCCATCTTTATTTCAACATTTACCTTGTTGGAATATCCGTAGAAATCGGCCAACATCCTGTAGAATTTTACTCCCCAGGGAGAATATAGTTCTTCTGTGGATAACACCCATAAGAACGGGCAAGGGTAAGTAAAAATTTCATTCGATTTGTTGGTAGTATTTGCTCAAAAGTTAACAGTCAGACAGTGACCTGCGTTCTTTGTTCGTCATCGGTAGCCGCATTTTTGTATTATTTCGCCGGTGGGACAGCCCTATATCTGAAGTTTTGTGGCTTCGATGATCACATATTATATTATTTGATCACCGATTTGTATAATAAACATTAAGGAATTCGAATTTGTACACAATTTGCTGTGTTTTTTCTCCAAATAAAATGACTCTGCAAACTATTCTGATAGCAACCAAGAGTCGATTTCTGTGCCATCGACGAATGGTTTTAATCGGCATTTCTTGTGTTCGTGATAATACGGATGTATAAATCAGTCTTGTTACCAACCTCGATATGAGAGTAGATAATGATGATTATTATGGATGTCTTGTATACATATCAAACACAAATCACACTGAAATTTAGGAGAATTTCCTTCGATGTTACCACCAACATTTGAACGATTTGCGTCAGTTCAAAATGGCGTCTTTCGCTCTCGTATGCGGATGAGATTTGGCGTCCAAAATTCTGTTTTACCTTTCATTTATTGTACCTAAAGTTCAATAATATTGTATGCTCAATGGGACTTCCCTTTAGACATAAAATCGTGCGAAAACGGTTGATTCTATATTGAAAAAAACGTTTGCGAAACGGGTTAAAATTTAAAAATAAATGTTCACAAATGTTCTGCTCCGATGTTGTGAGCATTGTCAGTTTAAAAAAAAATGAAATAGTAATCGTGTCAACATGTCCACGTGATGGTGTCTTTATTCTTTGTTACTAATTTGGCTTTGAAATGTTCGTATGACAGTGTCTCTACCACATGAGAATTCACCCTTGCAACACCCCCTACCCTAATTTCAATTCATTGGGCATATATATTGTGCTGCTAAACAAGCACGACATGTTTCTTCCACAGATCTACAATACAAATATGATGAAAAGGTCATTTTTGTTATTAGTTATCAAAATTAATGGCACAAGATTCATGGTCCTGTAATTTTCTATTGCATAATTCATAGTTGAAACGATTTTGGAGTAGAAGGTGGGTTTGATCATTTTTAGGGGAGTGTTATGGCCTTTATGTTACATGGGGTTATTTTTAATTTTAATTATTTTCAACATTCGAAAAGAAAATGAAATCACATCAAACTCCACATTCTTATTCCAAACAACACCAAATCACAGCAGTTGTTCCACTATTGTTGAATGACTGTATCTAATTTAATTAACATTTACAGCAAATACTACATACATATTCATGCAACTAAATAGCAAACTGAATGCAGTGTTAAATGCTGTCTACTGGTCCTTGAAAACGAGGCTGTCTGCCAAGATGAAGTATTCTGGCAAAATCAATGTCAAATCTTCAATGGTTATTTAGCCACCAGGTGAATGTGTTATGTTTTGTTAGGATAATGTCCCTTTACATGTCATTTAAATAATATTGTTGTTTTTATAGTAAATACAAAGTTCATTACTATAACAATAAATGAATAAATAGTTGATGGTCAGTTGGATTTTTTTTTTAAATTTAGTTTTAAGCAGGTTGTTAAATATATTCCTTTCTTTTCATATTCAAATTTAGTTTCCTGGTACTGGTCCAAAAAATGTCTGTAATAGTACAAAATGAAAACGTGTACACAAATTATAGCATGAACTAGTTTGGTGTTGGTGCATTATTACAAACAAAATGTACATAAAATGCCATTGGTATTGCAGGAAAAAAATCTTTATATGCTGACTAGACCAATAATACCAGTGACCTTCAGTATTGACCTTCAACTAGGTGTGAAGGATTTCGCAGGTCAGACACTGTATTGTTAAAATAAAATGGTTTCCTTATTGTCTGTATGTGCTTTTTTTTACTTGAAAACCAACTTTATTTGCAATCTCAGATTTTTAGAAGGAAATAAAAGAAATTATCTTAATTAATTTTAAAATTTAAAATGACTTGTTTTTTTTATATTTCAATTGTGTCAATCCAGCTCAGAGTTTTACTGGTTTTATATTCTGTATTTCTAACACATCGCCTGTGAACTCACTTTTTTCCCCACATTGATTTTGATACGAGGTTTTGGGCAGACGATGTGTTAAATGAAATGAGATTTCTAAAGTTGCAATTAAGTATAAAATCATTTTTTTTTTGTAAATAGTTATTGAAAAAATATACTTGTTTATCAGTTGCATGTCTTGCTTGTTTTGATGCTGAAGTAATCATTTTACTGGTAATCTTTTAAATCTTGCTCATTAATTATTAAGCAAGTCCTAGTGTCTTATCAGCTGACATGGTATCTCGTCACTAATAACAATTGCACTGTAATATATAGATACGTCCTTATTGGGATATTTTAAAATGAGATTTTATAAC